TCATCGCCGAGCACGTGGTAAATCAACATTTATAATAGGGTATTTTATACTATGTAAAATAAAAATAAATATATTTATGATGGATTTTGTAAAAAGTAAACGAGAAATGTTGATTTATGTTTATAAAATTGCATTATAAATTTTATATTTCAATTTCAAGATTTTTTCATCTGTGTTATTTCGAAAATTTTCAAGTTATCGTTACGATTACTTTTTTTTATAGGATAGGATGACAAGCGAGCACACAGTCCACCTGATGGTAAGTGGTTGCTGTGGCCCATAGATATCTACATCTATCCTCGATTACGAATCAAAATACAGATGCGTTGTCATCCGTGAGGACTTAGGTGGAATACCTCGTTTCCAGTAAAAAGGGTCTCCGGTTCTCTACACTCACCATACGAAACACAGCAGCATTAAGCTGCTATTTGACGCTGGTATTCTGTGAGACGTGGTCCTTCCCCGGTCGAGCCGACCCATTCGTGCTACAACTATATTACTGATATAACTGCAGCATGGCTCCATCACGTTGAGTTTTATTACGAATTTTATTGAAAAGGCATCATGGAAGACGAACTTGTAAAAGCAGAAACTACTAATCTACCAAGAATAAATAACACGGCACGTTAGCTAGTTCCCTCAGTCAGTCAAAGAAGTTTTTGCATGCAATCCCAATTTTCTTTCTGCTGAGTTGAAACATCAATGTAACTATTACCAACTTTTGTTTATACAAAAACAATACCAGCTCAGAGTGTATTCTGATAAAACATAGTTTAGTTTATCTATAATTACAATCATTAGCAATATTTAGTTATAATACCTAAGTTAACGTAATTTATTACAAAATTTGACTTGCCATACCCTTCGGCTCATGATGTTTTATTTTGTATTAAACGATAGTTAAATATAAGTAATACTTACATCAAAATGATCTTCACAGAAGAATAGTCTGGTTTTTGTAGACAATGTATACGGGTATATTTTTGCCAGTTTTAACCAAGTATTTCTAATATTTAAATCAGTTAGCATTTGAATCCATAACTTTCCCGGCGTTCTTATGCTCGTATTTTTCATTCAGGCACAACACAACAATGATTTAGATTATAACTCATTAATAAACATTAAAAAGTATCTTATTTTTTTTTTTTTTGCAAAATCGGCAGAATCGACGACGTCATGAGTTACGCAACATGGCGGCTAGCGTTTTCATGTGAAAATGTAAAACGATAGATTAAAAGTAATTTTAAGGCACTATTCGGTTTTAAAAAAATTATATAAAAGGTATAGTGGTTCATATCACTCTAGGATTCATTTAAAACAATTTTTGAAAATGGGTGTAATACCCTATTGCCTTTAATGTATGATAAAACAACAAATATGTATGATAAAATACCTGGTCTATTAAATTTAAAAAAAAAACAAGATTCTTCTTATCCCGGAAAAATACATGGTTCTTGAGAAAAGCTATTTATAATGCATACAGAGCATTGATTCCCTCCTCACACTAAAGTGGCTGATTAGATTTTGATGAAATTTGGTACAGAGATGTCGCAGGTTCTGACATAACATATGGAATATGTTTTATCCCGGACAAAGTGCACAGGTCTTGTAAGTTTTAACTTAGCCAAATAAAATTCAAATTTAATATTTGAGTAAAGGTAGAGGTAGGTATGTACATACACAAGGATGTATTAAAAAATGACAATATTTATGCCTCTCTAGCTGTGGAATAAATCATGGGACACATTATCAGAAGATGTCGCACATAGGCAACAAGGATGCATGCGTAATAATTTAATCATAAATAAAGTGTTGAACTTAATTTAAGATGACATCAATATCTGGTAAGAAATTAGCTAATTTAGATTTTCCCACACCGCAACAAAGTGGAAAATTATCAAGTTGCAATTTTTATTAATTTTGTTTTGTGAGGGATCTCAGCTACAACACCGAGGATAATAAAATCCACGTGAATGAAATATGATGTCACTTCATAAAGGTGTGTTTCTGTATCGTATAGGTACATAAAATCGAAGTTCATAAACTCGGAGCCCAAAATGAAGCAATTATATAGACTTTCGGGCGGAGCTCTTCTTTAGGAGGTAATCTGTGTTCTTGATGCTCTTAGAGTACGCTGTACAAGTACGGGAAAAATATTTGTAATGAGCTAAACGCTAGCCAATCTTCGCAAGTGCCGCAATATAGCTTTACTATTGCTACGACAGCTCACCGGTTGCTCAACGGTTAAAATTGCTACTTAATCTTGCAAACGAAAAAACTTCAGTGTCCAACTTTAGCAAGAGTAGTGATCGTGGCACATTCTTGCAGTAGTGCAAAGTTGATCGTGTGGGATGAGTGCACGATGTCACACAAGCGCACGGTAAATTTCTTAAACTGCCGCCAGCTGGATAGCTGCAGCCAATGGGTGCGTTCGGCAGAAAAAAGCGCTAGCAAGCGCTTGTAAGCAAAATGGCGATCGTAATCGGTAAGCGCTGTCAAATCGTAAGTAGCTATTTTCCTCCAGGACACGATGTTAGTTTTAACCGGGGGAATCTAACCTAATTTAAATATATGTTTGTAAAGTATGCATATTAAAAACTTACCAATCATGAGTTTTTAATAGCATGTATATGTTTATTCATGTCATTATATTACTTAAAACTAATATTGCACAAAACAACTTATAAACTCTACTTCAAAACAAACAAATTAAATAAGCAAAATGGCGGATTGTGTCAGCGCTACTGAAGTAGCAATCGTGTCCTGGCCGAAAACTATTTTAGCGCTTATAAGCGCTTGCTAGCGCTTTTTTCTGCCAAACGCACCCAATAACAACAGAATACAACCAATTGTTCTTGCAGTTAACTTCAGATATACTAGAATGGGTCGACGGGACTTTTAACTGGACAGAGTCGACTTCATTGCTGCGGACGGGAATTGAACTTGGGTTTGTCTCGCACTGCTAAATTTACGGTGAATACTTAGCTCCGGAGCTACCAGCGCCTGATTTATACTGCCGAAGACTATGAAATTATAAATTTCAATTTTATCTAACTCATGATATCTATTGATTAAAATATAAGAAACCATTATGACATCTACTCGTCGGTCATGTGAAGTCAGTAACTATGCGTGAATATAGGCCGTTACTTCACATTTTACCCTATTATCTCAAAGACTCATGTTCAGCAATAGACCATGTGCTGGGCGCGAGAGGAATAGAAAGAGAGTTTACAAAAACACTACACATTCGTAATATGCAATAGTTATGTCAATAACTTAAATTTAAAAAACCCCCGAAACAAAAAAAGCTGATGGACTAATACGGCGGAACCGATTTAGATAAAACATGCTTTTAAATAAAAAAAACCGCACCCAAATGTTCACCCTCTTAAGAGCTTCGGTGCCACAAAAGATATACAGACAGACACACACGCGTAGCTGTCAATTTTATAATACCCCTTGAACAATGCCCCAAAAATTAAGTGAGAGTGGTGAGAATAGGTACCAACCAATTTTATTCGTCCAGGCTACATGTAACACAGCTAAAACATTACATCAAAACAAACAACAAACAAAAATGGTAATACGCCATCTAGCGCTGTTACTTAGAACTTATATAACACAAACATTGTTCGTGGTTATAAAAATAATTTATCGGGTCTTAACACCCCTCTTTTTCGCCGTGGGTTAAAATACAATGTACAATTATAATACAATATACCAATATTACGACACCATTTTCTTATCATCAATCCACTGACATTAAAATTTCTAATTAAGCCTTTGACATTCATTAATTGAAACAATCTCACGTATCCTGCTAAATGCAATGTTTTCTATTACATTAACCTACAATAATATAAATACAATGAATTTTTATTCATCAACCACTCAAGTCTCAGTGTCAAATCAACCATTAAAACATGTCAGCATCCGCTCTCCTAGTTCTTTGTGTGCACGCTTGCTTGCTACAGGTAAAATTACTTATTCGAAATTACGACGTTAAAAGGTATTCGCTTCATCGGGTGTATTTTCTTATTCATTTTCAGCGACAGTTCGCCAATCGCTGCTTACCTACGGCAATCTGTCAGATTACTGTCAGATTGCCGTAGGTAACTGTCACCGTAAATGACACCGTAATATAAACCGCCATTAATAGAAGAATTTAATATCTTCTACCTACCGCCCAAGCAGGAAAAAATAACAGTAAAGCAACTGTATTTTGAAAATATAAAACCGTGTTCACGTTTTATTGCAGATCTTTAAGGATAAGATAAAAGTGAAGAAATTTTCATAGATTATAGATGCGGGCTCTTTTTATTACTAAGAGGGTTAATATTTATTATTGAGAAGGAGAGAAGAGAAGCGAAGCTCGCATGTGATTGAAATATTTTTATGACGTGATAAAACAGTAATTCAAAAACAATTATTCGATTTCAATGGCGTCGCTGGGGAACGTAATATATTTCCCGTTCAGGTTTTCGGAGAAGCATTACTCCTCAACGACCATAGCTTAAATTACATTTTACAGATTAGTTCCCTTCACGACCATGCATAATTTATTTATTTATTTATTCCAGCCTATCAAAGGCCTAGTGCTGAACTAAGGTCTCTCTCATGGATTAACCAGATGAGGTTTTCGGAGAATGTTTACTCCTCAGCTACCTCGGCTCTTAGAACATTTTAACTACAGTTTAGTTCCCTTCATGACCATGAATAATTTATTTATTCATTAAAAAGCAGCCTATCAAAAGTCCAATGCTTGAACTGAGGTCTCTTTCATAGATTGCCTCACGGGGAAGGGAAATTTTGCAATAGTTACAACGCTTAGTGGACGGGTTAACGACCGCGTTTTTATTATTTCGGTCGCTGTCGGGAAGATGCTGCTGCCTATCTCCTGTTTCAGTTCCATCAGCCGCATCCCACGAAGTAGACATCCTGACCTCACCACTACACAGCGAATGAATACTTTATAATTAAATATAATTGATTTCCAGAATGTATACAGTCAGTGCTTGGGTGATGGACTTGGCGTAGCTCCAAATATCGGCACTGAATATGAGCTCGGTTGCGGACCAGTTCTTGCTGCGGACATAGCTTACGGTCCAGGTTTCGCTCCCGGTGTTGGATACGGATATGGCCTCCCTGGCCCAGCTTCATTTACAAGTCCCGCTGCCTTTGCAGGCCCCGCGGCTTATGCTGCAGGCCCGGCTTACGGAGGTGCTGGCATCGGAGACGTATCCGTAACTGGCGAAATTCCTGTCACCGGTATCTCTCTTGTCGCTGGCCAGGTGCCTATTCTTGGCGCCGTGAAGTTCGGCGGTGAAGTTCCAGCCGGGGGTGTAGTCACTATTAGTGGAAGATGTAGTTGTGGTTGCAATGGACCATACATGTACTAATTAGTGATATAAATAATTCGTTATCGATATTAGAATAAATAAATAAGTATATTGTTAATTTAGCCTTTTTATTAATGCTTCTCAATACGTGGTAGAGCCATGCTTCAGCTGTATTACGAATGGGTCGGTTCGAACAGAGTAGGTCCAAGTTTTCACAGAATACCAGCGTAAAATAGCAACTTAAAACTGTTGGTGCCGTATGGTGAGTGTAGAGAACCGGAGACCCTTTTTCCTAGAAACGAGGCAATCTATCTTAGTCCTCAGGGGTGACAATTGTTCTGCATTTTGGCAGTATGGGCCACAGCATCCACTGACTGAGTGCTCGTTCGTCACCAGCATTTTATAAAGAAAACTTTTATTGATAGCGATACTAGGATGAAACTGATTTCAGTTCTATTGCTGGGCTCAGGCTTCCTCTCATTTCGGAGACTTTAGAAGCAGAGAAGATTCCGCAGTAATAATGTGTCTTAGATTTTCAAATTTCTAAGAATAAAATTTAATTTATTCTTAGAAATGTGAAAATATTAATTTTCAATTTTACTAAAAACATCATAATAAACACACACGCCTGTCACCCAGAGTGATAGTGACTACGGTTTTCCATTTAGCGCGATCCTGACACAACTCTCTCGCCTCCTTCGCATCCATATACCTACGCATACATGCTCGTCGGTTAAGGGTACTCTTAATTTGGCCCATTTTCAATATATCGCCATTTTAGTCGATAAACTTTCGCGTTGGGCGTCTCTTCACGACGCTGGCGTTCACTTCTGCAAGACAGATTCGCTTTGTCACTCTTTCCTCGTTCATTCTGTCTACGTGACCAAATCACCAAAGCATTATTTTCTTAATCCAAGCCACACTCTTCTTTTATCACACATTTTCTCATCCTGTCATTCAGATTCAGCCCTAACATACTCTTTAATGACTAAAATCCTCATAAGGAAAAATTATACGAATATGAACAGTTTATGTGCTGGTGAAATTTTAAAATCTCTGAGATACTACTACGTTTTATGGTACTCAGTAATGGTCTTTCTATTTCACTATTGTACTATTTGACGATATACACTTTTCCTGCTTGAATAATTACAATAAAAAATATTTTATTCATTTACACATATTAATGGCTAATTATAAAAGTGCCGTTGTGCTTAATAAAGTACGTTCCAAATTCAAATTTTGCCTAAGGCTGGTTTTTAAAGAAAACTACTTTTTAGACAAGCACAAATCTTTGTATGTGAACCTCAAGAACAACCTAGAAGAAATAAACAATGTGTACAATAGTCTATGTAGCTTTCAGTAGGATGCTTCTCACTGCCAATATACGCAGTCGTTATGTTTGTATTATGTTTTTTGAAGAGTGTGAGTGTGATGGTTCCGATATAGACCGCGAGCGACGTTCCTTGCCAGTGTGTGCCAACATGATATCTCGACGCTTTCAAAGATGTTCTTATGCCTCCAAACTGAGGTTGCTTTCAGCTTACTGTCAGCCACTTTACACTCCTCAGCTGTGGACGAATTACACTAAAGAGGAATATCGCTGAAGGTGCAGTATAATGATTCGTTCCGCATTTTGTTTCGTCAGCCACGAAACTGTAGTGCGTCTCAGATGTTCGCAGAGGCCCGTGTCGCTGGTTTGGATGCGCTGATCCGCCACCGTATCCCGTGATTTAGAAGTTCTGTTTTGGATCGCAGAATAATCTCATCAAAATTATTTGTAATATTTGTGCATTTAGTGAAATGTTTGGTAGGTGGTCAAATTTATTAATACCTATCTCAATAATAATAATTAACAATTTGATTAATTAACCAATAATAAGAATTAATATTTAAGGTGTAATGTAAAAAAATTATTTTGTAATGGATCAGTGTTATCTGTATCAAATAAATTATTCCTTCGCAGTGGACACATAAAATTACAATCATATACCACGACAATTTGAAGTGGGTTTATAACTTAAACATTTAAATTCCCGAGAAACCGGGATTTTCCCGTACGAATGCAATATTAGATAATAATTTTCTTGGTTGTACTATGATTGTTATTATGTCCAGACATTTCATCCAACTTCTCCGATCTTAAACCGTAAAGCCGGTTGCAGACCAAGAGCTAAGCTAAGTTAGTTTACAACAAGGTGGTGCTATGATGCTGGGCTTATCCTTAATGCTAGTAAAACTAAGTTGTTAGTAATTAAATCTCCATACCTAAAACCCGCTTCAATTACAAAATGTGTTGCACACAATCACATCTACCTACATAATTACAGCTGCTGAATGCTGCTACCCTGTAATTGAGACAGTTGACACACAAACGTATCTCAGACTAGTTATTGACAGTAAATTAAATTGGAGCCAGTATATTGAACGTGTATGTACTAAAACTAAGACAATTTTTAGCAAATATCACTATCCTCAATAATCGCGTTTCTTTTAAAATAAAGTTAATATTAGATATATAATGCATTTGCGGAGTCGCACATTCAATACGGGCTAAGTAGCTACGGCCAAACTTACAAAACATATCTTGACCAGATTCATAATTTACAAGTAAAAATACTATAGTTCCAAATAAAATAAAAAGTAAATTCAGGAATGACGTTAATGGCCACTTTAAACATTGTAAAATTTTTGCAATACATATACAAGTACAAAATATTTTATTAAAAGAACAATTTTTTAATGAATCGCTAAGAATCCCGATTGAGCATTCTGTAAACACTCGAGCAATTTCTAATAGCTCCTCTACACGATGGGCCAGCGTGCTAACAATGCGAGAGAACATGTTGTAGCTACTTAATACCTCGGCTTATCAATAACTTATCGTCAGAATTGGTGGATAATATCACTAAAATTAACATTAAAAGTAAACTAAACTAGGTCACTTTCTTAAATTATTATAACGTGTTTTGTCATTTTTTTGATTGTTGCATGTTTATTTCATGTTTTTGTTTTTTTCCTTTTTATAGTATCTGCAGGACAATATAACGCTATATTATTATCTTATAACATTGTTAACTCTCGATAGCTTAAGTATAAACCTTTGTTTAAATATTTGTAATGCTTGTTCATGTGATAAATAAATGAAAAAAATAATCAAAGAGCATCCAAAGGAGATGTATGAAATTGGGTGCTTGTCATCGTTCGTAACAATTATAAAAAATATGCAGGCAATAAAACGATAAATTATAAGCATAATTAAATGTTTTATTTCTGTAATATCTTTATCATTACAGCCCTTTACAAGGCTGAACATAGGCCTCCCCAAAGGAATGCCACAAAGCACGGTCCTAAGCCACCTGCATATCATTCGACTTCCAGAATTTCTTACCAGATCGTCACACTATCTAGCGGCGGGACGCCATGCACTGCGCCTGCCGGTACAAGGCTGCCACTCGAGAACCTTTTTCCTCGTCGGTTATCGGTTCTTCGAGTTATGTGGCCGGCCCATTGCCACTTCAGTTTACTAATCCGTTGGGTTATGTCGGTTACTCTGGTTCTACTGCAGATATCCTTATTCCTTAGTTTATTACGCAGAGAAACTCCAAGCATAGCCCTCTCCATAGCTCGCTGAACGACTTTGAGCAACCTCATACGGCCGGCAATGAAGCATCACGTCTCAGGTCCATAGGTCATTACTGGCTACACGCACTGGTTGTACAATCTGGTTTTAGATTTTGAGGTATGCCTGATGAGAAGATGTGTCGCAATCTCCCGAACGCTGACTAGCCGAGTTGAATTCTTCGTTTGACCTCTCGACTGAAGTTGTACTAAACTAGAAAACGTAAGCTGTCACTTTTACTATAGCAAAAACAAAATGTATTTAAATATGTTTCTGTATTTGGTTACGACAAGAGATAACTATTTTTGTAATAAAATAGCCTTCATTATCAAAAAAATCGTAACATGAAACATTGACGCGAATCTGTAGATTATTACTGATTGAAAGAAATCTATTTATAAAAACGATTGAATGGGCTATGCCTGTTCTGTAAAGGCCTGTTCTGAAGTAGACTTATCTTGGTAACGTGGAGTTTCAAGTTATCATGCGGTTTAGGCATTATAGTTGTGTTTATGGATATATTTGGTGTTTTTAGTATCGTGGGTTAATTTAACTTGACCCTTGGCTTTTCTCTCGGATTACAGGACAGTAGGTTATTGCACCCACATAATGTGAAATGATTTTGAGAAAAATAGAACTAACAAAGTACAGCCTCCGACTACTTTTATAGATGGCATATTATTAATGATTGAAGAAAATAATGAAACAATTTAAATGGGTTGAGTTTTATTTTACTTTATTTAACAATAACAACAAAACTGTATTCTTTTAAGTTCTTTTAAGTTTTTTTCAAACAACTTATTTATAAGTTGTAATAAACAACCTGTATACAGAATGAGTGATTTTACTACATAACCTACAAATCATAAAACATAAAAAGAAAACCCCAGGTCATACAAAAATATGATTTTTTGACATAAGTACGAAATGTTTAAATATCCGAAATAAGATATTTGAACTTTGTTCACGCCGGGTATAGAATATAAAACATCTCTTTTTATATTTAAGTTCAAATATATAAATAATTATATACCGTCATTGCAATTTTTGAAAACACAAACAAATAAGGCTTCTTCTTTTATTTGAAATTATCCCAAATTGATTGTGATTTATGGGCAACAAATACGCATACGCGCCCTCTTCTGAGTGCGATTTAATTCACAACGATTTTGCCAAGCGAGCGTTTTTTTTAATTAATTTGTCTTCGTTATTCACCTATATTACTTATTCTGAGCCTTCGCTGCAAATTTGGGCGCATATTGCATAACAATCCTGTATAAGAGGAACTTATCTTACCTCTCACCATACGGTTAATATCATAAGAGTTGAATTAAAGAAAAGTCTGTTCCCTTTTAGGGTTTCTTAATATCCCTAGGCTAGTGAAGGGAAACAGCGTCATAGGTGCGCAATGTCTGTGATCGCCAACTTGCTTGCAAAATCGTGCCTGCTCTGGGAAAGAAGATTGTGTTTACTGGCTGGTGAGAGTTGAATTGAGTTTTATAAAATGTATTTGTTGTTTTTAATTCGACGTGCCTTTATTATATTTAAAAAAATCGTTTGATAATTATCTTTCCTATTATTTCTTAACAAATTATAATCAGACACGTACTTGTAGTATTAATTATTGTTATTTTCGTAAGTTTAGTTGCGAAAAATTTTCTATAGATATGAAATATTTGACTATAAATTGTGGTTTTATTTGTTTGGAATATCATTGTGACTTGGTTTACGGTAGAAAAAAACAAACATGTATCGTGCCGTTCTTTTTGTGTGTGCTCAAATAGCCCTAATTCAGGTGAGATTCAATTATAATATATTACATAGGTATATTGATATTATTGATGTGATATTGTGAATGAAACCGATTTAGGACATATTTTTCATTGGATGATAATCGTCCAAAATTCTCATTCATTTCATATTAAAAGAATTGAGGTATTGGGTCTAGGTTTACCTTACTGACCACTTGTAGTTGAGAGTAGGCGAAAATTTCATTTATTTTTGAAGCGGGAAAAGAGCTAAATAATTTATCAGCGTCTGTATTTCCCTCCGGTTACAAGGTGTGTTCCTTCAAAACAACAATGTAGCGGTGCATCACCTAGCGCTTCATCATCGCTTACCAACAGGTGATCACACCAACAATCAAATACGAAAAGATAATAATGAAGAATCGATTTAGTGACTTCAATTTTTACAACTCCGTAGGACAGTGACATTTCGTCACATAGAAGTTTATATATGGTCTACTATTGACTGTTTTGGGTCTGAATGTGTATTTTGTGTAATTCATGTATGTAAACTGTCTACAGGATACAGAAGAAAGACTTTTAAGATAAGAAGAGAAATACAATCTACACAAAATTAAACCTAAATTTGATAGCCCACTCTCAAGTTTCATCCACTTTTTATTCTTTAGTCAAACTTTTCATGTTGTTATAAATAAAAAATAAAATTGTTATTTTCAGGTCATTGCAGGTCAGTGCCTGGGCAATGGGCTTAATAGTAACATATTCACGCCAGGCCAAGTTGCTGCTGAGGGTATGGGTTGGGGGGGTCAAGGATTTGGCTACGGAGCCCCATTCGGTGCTCCTTGTGCACCGGCTCCCTTGATTGCTTCTGAATGGGCACCTTTAGGACCAGCTACAGTTCCTTCATCCAATGGTGGTGGTTTCATTGTAACAAGTTCCTCCCCTATCTCACCTATCGGTGTCTCTGTTATCTCGGACAATGAGTACGCAGGTCCTCTAGCTGTTGGTGGTCAGCTCCCATTCTTAGGTACTGTCGGGTTGGAAGGTACTATTACAAGTACAGGATCGGGAGCTGTTTCATACAGTTGCGGTAATGGTAATGTTGGAATTGTGAGCGAGAACATACTCCCCTCAGCCGCAGAAATAGGATACGGTAACGGTTTAGCCCCTGGTTTTGGATTTGGTCCTGGTTTTGGTGGACCCAGCTACGGATTTGGACCTGGAAATTTTCTTCAAAGCGGTCTCAATAAATGCGAAGCCGCATAAGTTGTTTAAAAATATTTTTGTTAAATTATTTTAATAAATTGTTGTAAATTACATCTAAGTATGTTTTTCTTCTAAATTATTTTTATGATCCCTGTTTGTAATAATACATAACATATATAAAATAATATTTTTATTGAGCTGATGGTTGCAAAGTAACTATTAATATCTTTACTATAATGGATTTCCGCAAAGTAGCGCCTGATTCTATTAATTATAGTATATTTACTATTAGCTTTTGTTATCTGCATATACATGTACAGGTAACTACTTCTTCTTTTTTTTCCACCAGCCCGTAAAGGTTGTGATGACAATTTGTCTAACTCGTCACGCTTGGCAGATTGACGATGGCAGTAGTAGACGTCTCTCAACCTGCCCTGCTTGTCGTTAGTGAGGCTTGTTCACGTCTTGTGTAAAGAAGATGTTTAGCATTTTCCGTAGATCTCTACTACGATAGCCACAAGACGAAATCTGGTGATAGATTCTCTTACACCGAAACCCAACTTCATTGAGATATTAACGAACAATATGCTTTAAACCTACTAAAAAGCGAATAGCATTGTGAATGTGCTAGTATAATGCAAGTATAGTAGTAATAAGTAGCTATGAAACACTAAAAATCTTAAATTTTAATAGCGCTCGCGGAAAATTCTACACTACGCGAGTGGGCCAGGTCCGATTCCTGCCCGTTACAGCCTAGTCCACTAATAAACATATTATGCCTCCCCCATAGATAGCTTTATAGCGGCGATAGTCGCCATAGTTGCCATACTTGGAAGGTGAGTTGGCAATCACAGTATTCTTTTAAATTATTAGTTATTTTTGGAAAAACTCTGCCCATGTTCTAATTTGTTTCACTCTGTCGCCGCTTGCGACATCCGACGATATGAAAATAATATTACAACAAAAAGTCCGTAAAAACTGCTTTATCCGAATCAAACTAATATTAATACCAACAAAAATTTTAATATATATGCCGTATATATTTATGATAAAATTTTTAGTAAAACGTTGGGACGCTACATACTACCGTCTACGGCACATCTCAGATGAGGCATTGAAATATTGAATACAGATTTAAGAAAGAAAAAAAATACTCGCTCGCATAAAGTTTGACCGTCCGAGCTTGTTCGGGGCCGCCGGCCGTCCGAAAATCAGCGCTGCAAGCTCGCGGCTTATGCTGAGATGGTCCCTTCCAGCACTTCATCATATCACATTGCATGCACATATAATCAACGCTTTTCTTTTCTTTAGTCTAATTTTCTGTTTTTTATTTGTTTGTTAACAATAAGTCACTTGTTTTATTTTTAATTGTAATTTGTCATGTGTAAGTGTAGTGTCGTAGATTTAAGTTTTGGAATAAATGTCTTCATGTCTTATGTCAATAACATAATAAATCGTATACTTGTATACAAGCAACTCATGTTTAATTCCCGTGGGAATGTATGATATTGTTAGTTTAATTTAGAGTCAGCTAACGCGCGCCTTCGTAACCAAAAAATATTTTTCTCTTGTAAGTATTCAGGTACCTACTTTGATATTTATTTTTGATTTTAACAGTGTTTGTAGTAGTAACAGTTGATCATGAGGTCCTGGGTTCGAATCCCGGGTCGGTACAAAAAAAATAATTTATTGAGTTTTTCTGTCAAGAAAGTTGCATTATAATAAATTCATAAATAGTTTCTAATTAATGATTTTTATACCTATCGTATACTGCAACATATTGGCGTATTTAAAATATCGAAACCAACTTATTTACAAACTATACCGATTGATATTTACAAAATTATACTATACATTATTGTTGTTTACAAAAAATACTATTTTAGCGTTATCGCAGTAATTGTTCAAAATGTTCACCAATTCTTTCTAAACACAAACTAGCACGTGTTTGTAAAATGTTTGTTAAGCTTTCACTAGCACTTTGTAATTCTTTTGTGTACACTAGTCGTTTTATTACGGCCAACAAATAAAAGTTTGGAGGTTTTAGGTGAGGCCAGTTCATAGGTCAGCCGTGACCTATCCACCTATCACCAAATTGGCTGTCCAGATATGTGCGCACAGGTCGTTCGTAATGAGCTGGACATCCATCGTGGTGGAAGTACATTACTTGCAGTTGGCTCAGAGATACGTTTTCAAACATTGTGTCGATGACGGAACGTATAATTTGCAGATACTTTAATCCCGTCAATCGACCTTCAATGAGGACCAATGATTTGGCCATTAATGATTACCGCCCAAACGTTAACACCAACACGAACTTGATGAGCATGCTCTTTGATTTTCTATTGGTCTTGGATACTCCACCTATGCTATGTAAATATCGACTCGTCGCACCGCCAAAGTGTTCACCAGACAAGACAAAATCTCACCGTTGTTAGGTATTGATATTATAGTATTGTTATATGTTTACGATAACTATCGGCGGGCGGCCGATACACACGCGGAAACATAAACAATTTATATGACGTCATGCCGTAGCTATTCACAGCTGACTGAAAAGAAAACGCTGGCGGCCTTGTCCTTGCGGCTTCGTCCCTGCCAAAGGACAAGGACATTGTTTTGTTGCCACTAGTAAATTAGGGTGCGTATTATTTGTTTTTAGATATGTAGTTTTTAATTGATTTATTTAGTTCAAATTTTTTTATTTAATATGGAAAGTTTACTTCAAATTAGTAGTATTTATTGTTAGATCAATTTCATAATACGAGTATGTTAATTAATTTAAAAAAATTAAAATGTCAGTGTCATAGGCTTCTACTCCCTTCATTTGTTACACTCTAATTTTTTTCCAGGCGGTAAAAATAAATCACCCAGTATAAGTAATCTATACTAAAACTACATATATAGATACTAAATATATAGATAAAATCCGTAAAAATAGTTTTAATCAATGTGTAGTGTTCGCGTAAATATAAGAAATTATAATCTATACTGAATATATAGCCTATATACGTCCCATTCCTGGGCACAGGCATTTCTGAGAGGGTTTTAGGGCAATAAATTGTCCACCGCACTGCTCCAATGCATGTTGGCATACTTCACATGTCTTCGAATTATTTTTTTCTTATTTCTCAGACATGCAGGTTTCCTCACGATGTTTTCCGCTGAGTATGTGGTAAATCACTATTTAATGTCAGCATATTCCTGGAAAACCCATATACGACAAATGCCACCAAAAAATTCATATAGCGTTCATTATTCTCGCACTATGGCACTAACTGCCGCTTCGCAAACTAGCATCAAAGACAAAAGATAATATAATTGTTTGATTCAAATATCGCGCTTTGTCATGATTTTAAAAACGGGCTTTCCTTCAAATAATTAAAAGTATAGAATTATATATAGCAACCTTCTAAAGGTTGTGGACAGACGCGTACTTTTTTAATAGCGACCTTTAGAAGGTTTTGGACTGACGAGAAGATATAGAACTTATTTTGAATTGATACTGTCACCAAACATAATACATTAAGAAAACTGCTGTATGACCATCGTAGTCATCAAAAATTTAACCATAACACATTAAAAAAAACATTCATTACACGCTAATAGGATTTAGGTACAAATCATACATGAATAAACTGTCTGAGTACCCAATTAAAATCAGCCGTAAAAGAGCAGTGACAGCTTAGGGGCAAAAGCGCTGACTGTAAATTTCATAGTACTCGAGCAACCTGAGTTCGATCCCCGCCGAAACCAATGAAATTGTTAGTTAAAATCTTAATTGCTGATTTACCACGTGCTTGGCGGTGAAAGAAAACATCGTTGGGAAACTGTATATCTGAGAAATTAAAAAAATCCTAAACAGCGGACAGCACGGCAGATACTTATTTTCCCAAAAAACTTAAAATCAATCTTAGAAATGAGAGGTCTGTGCCTAGTTGTGGGATGTCTTCTGTTGGATATGAAGTAAACTGAAAGCCTATGAGGCTTTCAGTTTACTTCATATCCAACAGAAATTAGAGAAGACCTACGCCCAGTAGTATTAAATATATTCATACTTAAAAGCTGGAATACTTATTTAACATATAACAAAAAATGTAATTATCATTTTTTGAAATGTAAATAAAATGTAATAATGCTTAGCTACCCAGTTTTCAATGACATATTATTTTGCATAGGAATGTTACGTTATTATATGTTAAATAATACTAATAGTTAGAAATCTATACGATAAGAGCCACAGTTATGAAGACGAGACAAATTTTATCACACATCTAACTTGATGTATGTCACGATTCCAAGCATTACAATTGAGAAATAAAGGTTGATAAAGCATTAGAATGCGTAATTATTTAAAACAATGCTTATCATGTCTATCTTATATCTAATTACGAAACTTAAAACTTCCATATAAAAGTGCATGATTATGTTCGAAAATTATTCAGTTTTCATTGTCTCATCGAAACATGTCAGCAACAAAAATCGCATTTTGCGCCTGCCTTCTTATTCAGGTATATTTTTAAATATATTCAATAGTATAAAACTATTTGTATATCTAGTAAATTACATATTTCTGGCATACTACTTTATTTTATGGGTAAAGCAAGCACATAATACTAATATTATGTTTAGAATATTCAAGTTGCTCAAGCCAAATTATTAACTTTTAATATTATTATATGTCGTAGAACTATACTGCAGCTATGTTATGGTTGTAGCATGAATAGCTCGACCGAGGAAGGACTAATGCTCTCACAAAATACCAGCGTAAAATAGCATCATAATGCTTCTGTGTTTCGTATGGTGCAGAGAACCGAAGACTCTTTTTACTGGAGACGAATATAAGTCCTCAGGGATAACAACACATCTACATTTTGATTATTAACTGAGATCAGATGTAGATGTCTATAGGCCACAGCATCCACTTAACATAAGGTGGACTGGTGCGCCACTTTTGTCACCCTTATTTCCTTGAAATAAAACTTTGAAAATAGATTTGTCAAACCTCAATTTATTTTAACAGTAAATATGAACATCAAAATACTCTTTCTTATATTCTTACTTTTCTAAGGGCAGACTTAAAGTCTTTTAGGTGCTTTTAACCGACTTCAAAAAGGTGTAGGTACTCAATTCGACTGTATGTTTTTATGTGTGTTACCTCAGAACTTTTTTCTGGGTTAAACGATTTTGGTAATTCTTTTTTCATGTAGTCCCATATAAGTCTGAACAACATCTGATCAGTAGTTTTTGAGTAATTGTTAATAATGCGTATTTAATTGACTTCGAATACATTGATGATGTTCTCATTTTATTTATTTTAAAGTCGGTTGTACAAAATTTTTAATTTTACCACTTGTTTTCCAATCTACACTGATGTTGTTAGGTTATAAGATCGTCTCAGTATTACATATACTAATAGAAAGCGAAATATATTGTGAATAGTATATAAATCATAAATGTAATCTGTAAACTAAAACATGGAATAATCTGCACTTTTACAGGTGAAACTTTTCCGAGTGAAACTTTTCCAAGTGTTAACGATTTAGCTGTGTGCGTAGATCAAAAATACAAGGCCTTATGCCTTTTAACAGATGTCAGTTTAACATCTCTTATATTCCTAGTGTAAATACCTCCATACGTTACAAGGAACAGCGAAAAGGTGCGGAGTATTTGGTACTGAGATCATTCTAATCTGCGTGCCAAACGTGGTATTACGGCAAATTATTCTTACAACAGTAGAGGTCCATAGCTAGAAATACACCGTAACGTTAGCCCGAAGTTATGGGTATTCGTTCAGTAGATTTAAAGTTAAACGAAGAAATAAATAAATAATTTTACTTTTTTGCAGAACATTTATGGACAAAGCATCGGGGCTACGTTAAACAAAGGTTTACAAGGAAATGGGATTGCCACAGCAACTCCGCTTACAGCAGCAAATCCTCTAACAACAGCGAACAACATAGCAACTGCCAATAATTTAGCAGTTGCCAGTAATATAGCGGCTACTGAAGCTTTATCAACACCTTTAGTCAATCTATTAGGATATGAAAAGAAATTAGGGGGCCTAAAAATTGATGAGATCATGGCTTCTAATGGCAGGGGTTTCCAAGTCACTAGTTCATCACCAGTTGCTCCTCACGGTTTATCAGTTTTTTCTGAGAATTTAGTAGCTGAAGGTCCATTAGTTGTTACTGGTGAACTACCGTTTTTGAGCAGTGTTTCCGTTGAAGGTCAATTACAAGCCACTGGACAGGGTGCCGTTTCTTATGGTTGTGGAAACGGTAATGTTGGTATTACAAATGAAGGCACTGGTCCCTCAGGCCCAGTAGGTAGTATGCCTTACGGTGGACCTATGGGGCAAGGTTTTGGTCTAAACGGATATGGTTACAATAACCTTGTCAGTAGTATTCCAAATGAAGTAGCAGCTGCCGCAATTGGAGGTCAAACTGTACTTTGAAAGTATTTTTAAAATTTTAAAGCTAGTCTTAATTTGTCTAGTAAGTTTGGCTACCCGGACTTTGAAAATAGTTTATTTAAATCGGGTTTAGTCTGTTGTCATAATCAGTAAACATGTTCTGTACTTCGGGAATGCCATTCCTTTATTTATATTTAATTTAATAAAAAATTGTTGCTTTTATTTTCTATATTTATTTAAATACCCTTGGTATATGGTTTAAGATATTTTTCAAAAAAAGGATTAAGCAATATATTCACTTGCATAGATATAAGTTTGTTCGAATTATCTTTTAAAACATATAGCCATAATTTAACACATAAATTATATTTCTAGGATATTAATAGGATCACTACGAGGTTTTATCTTTATTATTATTGATTTTGAATTTTTTTGCATATTATTACTTAAATTTGTATTGCAGTACCCTACGAAAGACTTTTCTTTCGTAGTTTAAATTCATTTCATTAAATATCATCGATCGATTCAGTTCATTTAATAATCACTCCTATAAATTAATAATAATAAAAATATAAAACTAGTTCCTTCACTGAGATCCTATACAAACCTTTAAATTGCACCATCAGAAAGGTTAGATAATAAAAATATAAAACTAGTTCCTTCACTGAGATCTTATACAAACCTTTAAATTGCACCATCAGAAAGGTTAGATAATAAAAATATAAAACTAGTTCCTTCACTGAGATCCTATACAAAGCTTTAAATTGCACCATCAGAAAGGTTAGATAATAAAAATATAAAACTAGTTCCTTCACTGAGATCCTATACAAAGCTTTAAATTGCACCATCAGAAAGGTTAGATAATAAAAATATAAAACTAGTTCCTTCACTGAGATCCTATACAAAGCTTTAAATTGCACCATCAGAAAGGTTAGATAATAAAAATATAAAACTAGTTCCTTCACTGAGATCATATACAAAGCTTTAAATTGCACCATCAGAAAAGTTAGATAATAAAAATATAAAACTAGTTCCTTCACTGAGATCCTATACAAAGCTTTAAATTGCACCATCAGAAAGGTTAGATAATAAAAATATAAAACTAGTTCCTTCACTGAGATCCTATACAAAGCTTTAAATTGCACCACCAGAAAGGTTAGATAATAAAAATATAAAACTAGTTCCTTCACTGAGATCCTATACAAACCTTTAAATTGCACCATCAGAAAGGTTAGATAATAAAAATATAAAACTAGTTCCTTCACTGAGATCCTATACAAAGCTTTAAATTGCACCATCAGAAAGGTTAGATAATAAAAATATAAAACTAGTTCCTTCACTGAGATCCTATACAAAGCTTTAAATTGCACCATCAGAAAGGTTAGATAATAAAAATATAAAACTAGTTCCTTCACTGAGATCCTATACAAACCTTTAAATTGCACCATCAGAAAGGTTAGATAATAAAAATATAAAACTAGTTCCTTCACTGAGATCCTATACAAACCTTTAAATTGCACCATCAGAAAGGTTAGATAATAAAAATATAAAACTAGTTCCTTCACTGAGATCCTATACAAACCTTTAAATTGCACCATCAGAAAGGTTAGATAATAAAAATATAAAACTAGTTCCTTCACTGAGATCCTATACAAAGCTTTAAATTGCACCATCAGAAAGGTTAGATAATAAAAATATAAAACTAGTTCCTTCACTGAGATCCTATACAAAGCTTTAAATTGCACCATCAGAAAGGTTAGATAATAAAAATATAAAACTAGTTCCTTCACTGAGATCCTATACAAAGCTTTAAATTGCACCATCAGAAAGGTTAGATAATAAAAATATAAAACTAGTTCCTTCACTGAGATCCTATACAAACCTTTAAATTGCACCATCAGAAAGGTTAGATAATAAAAATATAAAACTAGTTCCTTCACTGAGATCCTATACAAAGCTTTAAATTGCACCATCAGAAAGGTTAGATAATAAAAATATAAAACTAGTTCCTTCACTGAGATCCTATACAAAGCTTTAAATTGCACCATCAGAAAGGTTAGATAATAAAAATATAAAACTAGTTCCTTCACTGAGATCCTATACAAACCTTTAAATTGCACCATCAGAAAGGTTAGATAATAAAAATATAAAACTAGTTCCTTCACTGAGATCCTATACAAACCTTTAAATTGCACCATCAGAAAGGTTAGATAATAAAAATATAAAACTAGTTCCTTCACTGAGATCCTATACAAACCTTTAAATTGCACCATCAGAAAGGTTAGATAATAAAAATATAAAACTAGTTCCTTCACTGAGATCCTATACAAAGCTTTAAAGTGCACCATCAGAAAGGTTAGATAATAAAAATATAAAACTAGTTCCTTCACTGAGATCCTATACAAACCTTTAAAGTGCACCATCAGAAAGGTTAGATAATAAAAATATAAAACTAGTTCCTTCACTGAGATCCTATACAAACCTTTAAATTGCACCATCAGAAAGGTTAGATAATAAAAATATAAAACTAGTTCCTTCACTGAGATCCTATACAAACCTTTAAATTGCACCATCAGAAAGGTTAGATAATAAAAATATAAAACTAGTTCCTTCACTGAGATCCTATACAAACCTTTAAATTGCACCATCAGAAAGGTTAGATAATAAAAATATAAAACTAGTTCCTTCACTGAGATCCTATACAAAGCTTTAAATTGCACCATCAGAAAAGTTAGATAATAAAAATATAAAACTAGTTCCTTCACTGAGATCCTATACAAAGCTTTAAATTGCACCATCAGAAAGGTTAGATAATAAAAATATAAAACTAGTTCCTTCACTGAGATCCTATACAAACCTTTAAATTGCACCATCAGAAAGGTTAGATAATAAAAATATAAAACTAGTTCCTTCACTGAGATCCTATACAAACCTTTAAATTGCACCATCAGAAAGGTTAGATAATAAAAATATAAAACTAGTTCCTTCACTGAGATCCTATACAAACCTTTAAAGTGCACCATCAGAAAGGTTAGATAATAAAAATATAAAACTAGTTCCTTCACTGAGATCCTATACAAAGCTTTAAAGTGCACCATCAGAAAGGTTAGATAATAAAAATATAAAACTAGTTCCTTCACTGGGATCCTACACAAACCTTTAAATTGCACCATCAGAAAGGTTAGATAATAACAGTCTTTGAGTCCTTTTTTTGAGTCCTTTCAAATGAGGTCAAACACAACCGTCCTATCTAGTGTCGTCATTGAGATCCTATACCCACCTTCGGAGTCCAGCATCAGCTAGTTGATATCATCATAGTCATCTAGGTCTTCATGAACCTTTTTGAAAATGAGTTGAAAAAAACACGATGATTCTACGTAGCATCACTAAGATCTTCCACCCATCTTCTGAGTCAATCACAAGGAAGGTGACATCGTCACAGTCACCTTAGTCTTCATCCTCCGTCAAACGAAATTCTCTAAATATATAAAGTAACAGCTTGCCAGGCAGACGTTGTTCTGCCATTTTCGACAACAATTTGTCATGTCCTACTAAAAACCCTTAAATTCGCACAAAAAAATTGTGGTCAAAAAATTATCCTATCTCTCAAGTTGGACCAAACTGCACACGGTGTGAAAATTTGATTAAAATCGGTTAAGTAGTTTAGGAGTTCTTCGCGGACATACAACTTGACACGTAATTTATATATTATCATAAAAATCTAAATAGCATACAAATAATGTATGTAGCTACTAAGAAAGTAGGTACTTACCAGTAATTAAAACGAACTGAAGCCAGCGTATTACGCCGCGCCCGGAAAACTCCGTGGAGTGCCATCAGTTAAAAATTTCAACTTAAGATTTCGCACTCATGATCGTGATGAGGGTTTTAGATTTACGTAGTTTACGTTACGACTGAGCAGTTTCAACTGAGACAGTGCGACGGAAAAAATCCGTGGGTTGTAGTCAGTTGAAAATTTGAACTTAATATTTTTGTTGTGTGGAATATTTGAATTTAATATTCCACACTTACGGTCAGTTTTTGGATGTACGTCAGTTCAACTGATCATTTGAACTGACCGTGTCTGGCGTCCATTAGTCGAGTACAGTTGTAGATATCCATAAGCCACAGCAACCACTTACTGTAAAGTTGACTGTGCTATTTAATCATCTTTATTTTTACATAATATCATAAAAATATATTACAATATTAGCGATGGTTTTAATAAATACTACGCTAGCCCATAATTCTGCAGACTAATGCGCAATAACTAATACAATTAAATTCCATTACGATTTCTCGCGAACACTACACATTGATTAAAACTTCCTTTACGGATTTTATCGCGTTTAATATTTCATAGTTCCTGACGTTTCAGGTGCTTTCCAGCACCCATGGCCACGGGGGACTGAGATGACTGAAGTCCCGATGTCATTGTTAAACCCGGAGTACCAATGGTCAGATTTATGCAAAATAAACTGACTGTGTCTTGAAGTCCTGTAGTGGTATGCTTGGGTTTAGTTTTAATTTTATTGATTATATAAACGTCGGGAATTAAAAATAATTAAAATTAAACGCGATAAAATCCGTAAAAGTAGTTTTAATCAACAATTAAATTCAAAGGTTCCCGTTTCAGGACGATTTATACAACATATTTCCTAAAATTAATTTATTTTGTATCCAAATATATTATCCTCAGTCACACATTTTTCTTTTCAATCATTTCCAGTTAGTACTGGGATTATAATTCGATATTATTTCATAGAAACAATGTTAAGTTAGGTAAGGTCCTCCGCCCGAGATCCGGCCAATGCTCCATGTGGTAGTACGTAGCTGTCATCGATATATAATATGTGTACGTAGTACATATAGCTCAATGGTAGTTGTTCTGTTCAGTTCTGAAACTACGGTAGGAAGCGCGATTAATTGTACTTTCATTGCACGTACGGAACGTACGTTGCCCATTCACACGTCTTTTAAAATTTTATTAATATAAGCCTTTAATACCGCTCTTAATTAGGAAGCGACGTATCGCCCATAAA